AAAACACCCCAATACCAAGGCACGTCACTGAGACTAACAACATGGGTCTCAGGAGCTCATGTTCAGTCAAAACAAGAACTAGTGTTTTATACTTTCTACACCCACATCTAAACACCAGGTCCCAGGCCTGAGTGACACTAACACCTTAAAGTGCCTGACCAGATCCCCAGCCAATGATATCCCTGATCCTGAGTCCCACCAGTTCCAGAACTGGGATCCTTATTCCCATATTAAAGATGACAAAATCCAGATCTAGGAGACTTCACTAGTAGATTTCAGATTGAAACTGGCTCACCATTGGGTTCTGACAAGCCCTGTCACAGATGTGTAGGGCAGGAACCACTGGCCTGTTCTACAGCATCCAGAAGACCCCAAGGGTGACACAGAATGTAGTGTTGAGTAGTCTCTAAGGGGATGTCCACTCTTTGAGTCACCTCCCTGGACAAACCAGCCACGTGGACACCTGTTACTGCTCCAGTCAACGAAAGGGTAACTTTATTGAGGCCCCAGGGCCATGGGGCTTGGGCAGGAGGGTGCCCTGTGGAGAAAGGAGGGGCCTTATTTGACCTTCTTCTTGGGGCGCAGATTGTTGGTGTGGCCACACTTCTTCTTGCGGCAGTTGACAGCACGGGGGTGCAGGCGAGCATAACATCTGTGCAGGGACAAGAAAGAACTGGTGAGGGTGTCCCTTGACCCCCCGCCTAGGCCCGGCTCCCCAACCTCCCAAATCTGGGCATGCATACTTGCGGCAGATCATCTTGTCGCAGTTGTACTTCTGGGCAAGCTGGCGGAGGGACGGCTCAATGATGCCACCTCTCAGACGAAGCACCAGGTGCAGGGTAGACTCTGTGGGACAAAGCCAGAGTGATAGGGCTGAGCCCAGCACTTCAGTGGCAGGGCAGGGCCCCCCCAGACTGGTGTTTCCTAAGTGTGACAGGAATACTGTATCAGGGTCCCCTGAATATTCTGCATGCAGACAGGCACACAGGCACAGGTAGGTCTGCCCTACACAACCTCCATCTCAGCATTTACCCCAAGTCCTTGGGAGTCTTAAGCCTACCTAATATGTCAATTGTGGTGCCCACCTGTGTTTCCCAGCACACAAGGCAATTTCTAAGTGGTGCAGGTAAGGTAAGACATGGAAGTCTTGTTACTCCAACGAGTGACACTGATTCCCTTTATGGCAATGATAGCAATTTCCACTATCAAATTTTAAAACAAAATACAAGTCATTAAAAAAATAACTGAGCATGAGAAACTAACAAGCATGGAAATATAGGTGAAAATCAGATGCCTTTCAGTAACAAAAAAAATACCTTATAAAGCAGGACTCCCCCACCCCCTATAAGGCTCACCTTAACAAGTGCCCCCCACTCACCAACCCACTACCCTGAGGCCATCAATGCTCCACCCCCCTGTCCATTCACCCCACCCATGGCACCTTTCTGGATGTTGTAATCTGAAAGAGTGCGGCCATCTTCGAGCTGTTTGCCTGCAAATATCAGACGCTGCTGGTCAGGTGGAATGCCTGAGGAGAGAGAGGTAAGTTCAATTACTGAGACTCTGCCAAGCATATTACTGGCAATGGCAAGGCCTCCCTCCAGGGGTGCTCCAGTACTATACTCCAATGTCTCAAAATGCAAACTGAGGAAGAGAACAAGCATTCTTCCCAAGGTCACATAGAAGTATGGGCAAAGCTAAGGTCCATTCAAACTCAGCACCATCCTCCAAAGCACAGAGGGACCCCTGGGCCCAAAGTGGCTCCCAGTAGGCAGACAGAACCTCCAGACTCAGCCCAACTCACCCTCCTTATCTTGGATTTTGGCTTTGACATTCTCGATGGTGTCACTGGGCTCGACCTCAAGGGTAATGGTCTTGCCCGTCAGGGTCTTCACAAAGATCTGCATCTCTGCGTCTGCTGGGGGGAAGAAGGGTGAGATGAAGTGGTAAGTGCTGCATGCTTAAACAGAACAAGCTCTGTGCCCGCACTGATCAAAACCATGGGCCTCAATGTTTGCTTTCTTTCCACTCCTCCAAGCCTGCCCTTCTAGGCTTGTCTTCCCACACAGCCTGGCCTACACCTACTTATGTCCTGTAACTAAGGATTACATTTCTTCCATTCTGGACTGTTATACGTGTTCTTTTTTTTTTTGGAGACGGAGCCTCAAGCTATCCCCCTGGGTAGAGTGCCATGGCATCACGCTCACAGCAACCTCCAACTCCTGGGCTCAAGCGAGTCTCCTGCCTCAGCCTCCCAAGTAGCTGGGGCTACAGGAGCCCGCCACAACGCCTGGCATTTTTTGGTTGCAGCCATCATTGTTGTTTGGCAGGTCGGGCTGGGGATTCGAACCTGCCACCTTAGGTGTATGTGGCTGGCGCCTTAGCCGCTTGAGCCACAGGCGCCGAGCCTATACATGTGTTCTTCATAGAAACAAGGACTGTGATTATCCCCTTTAAGTTTAGCAGAAGAGGGCCTCATTAACACATGCTACTGGAATACTAACTACCTTGGGGGACTAACATGCCAGATACATCTTCCCTGAGCTCTATCCCATCACCCCTGCCCTAGGAAGCTTCTGGCTTACTACAAAGGCTGCCTTGCTGCCAGTCTGGGAGGGAATCCAGAATTAAAAGTCACCTCCCCACCCACCCCCAAAACACATACACACTCACTCCCTCCTCTCCCAAGTTCCTCTCCTAACTACAAGCTGGGACAGCCAACACTCTTTAAAAGCTCCCTCCTCAGTTACGCCAAATTCTCCATACCCCACTCTTGCATTTGCTCCAACCCACAATCAATGATGGCTACCACTCAGTATCTACCAACCACGTGCCACGTACATGCTTACATATAGCATTTCACTTAAAAATAAATTAAGAAAAATCTACAAGACGGATGCTCTACCAACCACTCCTTGGTAGAATGTAGAAAAGGAGGCAAAAACCAAGACCTAGCTCGAGAAACTTCGTACTTCTACCAAAGAGATTTGAGTAGTGTCTGGCACAAACTTAACACTATACGCTTAACATTCGTCCTCCATTAATTCGGATCGGCCCACGAGGACCTATTTCCGCCCAGAAGCCTGGTAAGGTTGCTAAGGCCAGCGGAGAGGGCAGGCTCCTTTCCAAAGCCGTGTTCACCTCCTAGGCCCCGGTCTGGGCTCGGAGTCTCGACTTCACACGCTCCGCTCCATCACCCGCCAAGACTAACTCACACGGGCAGGCTCAGGCACCCCCTCCGCCGCCCTGACCCCTGCAGCCAGCCACCCGCCCCCAGCCCAGCGCGAACCCGCGCGGCCGCAGCCACCGACCAGCTCGGTCGCCTCGTTGAAAAGAAAAAGGGCAACAGAACCGGAAACCGTCGATTTCCCGACGACAGCGCCTGCGCACGGAGCTCGTACGTCACAATTAGCGCTACGCCCCGGCCCACGCCCCTAGCCCCGCCCTGCCGCCATCTTGGGTGCTGGCGAATGAGGCCGCAGCGCATGTGAGCGAGCACAGTCAAGTGTTGGTCCGGTCCACCGAATCACGTGGGGAGCCAGCCACACCTCTACAGGTGTTCCGGCCTGTTGTCTGCTTAGAGGCCGCTTTGGGAATACTTGAACAGAACAGAGAAGAATAAACCAAAGACTTAAGCAGAGGGTCAGCGGGTCTAGGAGCAGGGAAGGTAGGAGACCCCTGAGAGCCACCGGAGACGCCTAACACCTGGGGTTATTACAAAGTTCTCTGGCTGTTATACACGAGTTGCTTTAAAAGCATGTACTGAAGCAGGGAGAGCAGGTGGGACTGGTGCATTCGCCCAGCAAATGGTGATGGTACCTGGGCGCTGTTTTGAAATAGGACCAAGACTAACGGGTAGTTTATTTTTATTTTTGAGACGGAGCCTCAAGCTGTCCCCCTGGGTAGGGTGCCGTAGTGTTACGGTTCACAGCAACCTCCAACTCCCGGATTCAAGCGAGTCTCCTGCCCCCGCCTCCCAAGTAGCTGGGACCACAGGCGCCCGCCACAACGCTCGGCTATTTTTTTTGTTGTTGTTGCAGCCATCCTTGTTGTTTGGCAGGCCTGGGCTGGATTTGAACCTGCCACCTCTGGTGTATCTGGCTGGCACCTTAGGCACTTGAGCCACAGGCACCGAGGCAAATGGGTAGTGCTTGTCGTGGGGAATAGGGGAGGAATGAGAAGTCACTTATGAGTTTGGCAGGGCACTTATTTCTTTGAATATTTTCCAACGCCACTATGGACATGCTTATGTCAGGCAAAAGCAGATACTTTCATGTATGAGAAGATGCCTTTAACAACAAAATTTCTACTGGGCATGGTGGCCCATGCCTGTAATCCTAGCACTCTGGGAGGCTGAGGTGGGAGGATCGCTGGAGTTCAGGGGTTTCAGACCAGCCTGAGCAAAAATGGGAACCCATCTCTACTAAAAGTAGAAAAAAAAATAGCTAGAGGAAAATAAAATAAAATAAAAATAAAAAATTAGCCAGGCATGGTGGCATGCCTATATGTAGTCCCAGTTACTCCTCCTGAGTCAGGAGGATTGCTTGGCACCAGGACTTTAAGATCGCTGTGAATGGCTCGGCGCCTATAGCTCAACCAGCTAAGGCGTCAGCCACGTACACCTAAGGTGGCGGGTTCGAATCCCCAGCCCGGACCCGCCAAACAACAATGACGGCTGCAACCAAAAAATAGCC